GAATCGCCGAATTTGTAGAAAGTATTGCAATTAAACGGGAGAAAAATTTGTAAAGCGAAAGTCGCAACTTCTTTGTATAGACAAATGTCTTTTAACAAATAAACGATTATATGCTAAGTTTAATAATAATTTAATAGGTCTTTAATAAATTAAAAGAAAAAATAGTATTCCTGTTTAAAATATTATATAAAATTAACCCTTTATAATCTACAAAATAATATAATTATTTATTTACACGCGAATAATGTTAGTTATTATATTTTAAATAAAATGCAATTATTTGCAGTTATTTAATAATAAAACACATTTGGTAGTTTACAAAATTAATAGACACTGATATAGATTTAAACATAATTGATTATTTTATTATAATTTACATAAAATATATGAGACATTCTTTTTCAATCGCCCCAGCCCAAAAAGTCAATGTTCTGGGATTGGCTTCATACTTTGGTAAATTGTTGTCCTATATGATAGTAATAAATCCCTAAAATATAAACTCATTAAAAAAATATTTGTAGAAAGTAGAGGGGGTTGAAGTTTTGACGTTAAGGGTAACATTGTCATTTTCAAATACGTATAACTATGACAATAGTTAATGGATTTTAATTAATTTTCACGTACTTTTCAAAAAAGTATACGAAATTTAAAAAAAAAATTTTTGACCCCTTTTTTTTAAAAAATCAACCCTTATTTTTCGATTTTCACCCCTTCGGGTATTTTTTTTTTTAATTTCATTGGAAAGCTGAGGTTTTTTCCCATGAGCTATGTAAATATGAAAATGGGACAACAATAATTTTGTGAGAAACAGAATATTAAAGTAGGCGGTGCCGATAAGGGGTATACCTGGAGATCATCTTTGAGGATTTAGGTAGGCACCGCCTAATTTAATATTATGTTTCTCACAAAATTATTGTTGTCCCATTTTCATATTTACATAGCTCATGGGAAAAAACCTCAGCTTTCCAATGAAAATAAAAAAAAAACAAAAAAAAATTCCCGAAGGGGTGAAAATCGAAAAATAAGGGTTGATTTTGAAAAAAAGGGTCAAAATTTTTTTTTTTAAATTTTGTATACATTTTTGAAAAGTACGTGAAAAATTCATTAAAATTCATTATAGATAAATTAAAATCCATTAACTTTTGTCATAGTTATACAGATTTCAAAATGACAATGTTACCCTTAACGGCACCCTTATCGGCACCGCCTACTTTAATATTCTGTTTCTCACAAAATTATTGTTGTCCCATTTTCATATTTACATAGCTCATGGGAAAAAACCTCAGCTTTCCAATGAAAATAAAAAAAAAAAAAACCCGAAGGGGTGAAAATCGAAAAATAAGCGGTTGATTTTGAAAAAAAGGGGTTAAAAATTTTTTTTTTTAATTTCGTATACATTTTTGAAAAGTACGTGAAAAATGCATTAAAATTCATTATAGATAAATTAAAATCCATTAACTTTTGTCATAGTTATACGGATTTGAAAATGACAATGTTTCCCTTAACGTCAAAACTTCAACCCCCTCTACTTTCTACAAATATTTTTTTAATGAGTTTATATTTTAGGGATTTATTACTATCATATAGGACAACAATTTACCAAAGTATGAAGCTAATCCCAGAACATTGACTTTTTGGGCTGGGGCGATTGAAAAAGAATCTCTCATATATAGGATCTTATGTAAGATACTACATAAAATTCTACATGGATCCCGTCATGTATGTAGGAATCTATGTAAAATCGTATGTAGTATCTTACATAAGATCCTATATATGTTCTCACATGGATTCCTACATAGGATTTTATGTAACTACAAAATCGTATGTAGTATCTTACATAAGATCCTATATATGTTCTCACATAGATTCCTACATAGGATATCATGTAAGAATTCACCATAAAGGAATACCGTCATGTATGTAGGAATTCATGTAGAATCGTATGTATTATCTTACATAAGATCCTATAAATGTTCTCATATGGATTCCTACATAAGAAATGTAAATGTAAATCATCAAAATTCCACTCTTACGCCGCCAGATGGTGATAATTTTTTTCTCACAGTTGAGATCATTCTTGAATACTATATAAGCTGAGACTTTAACTCAGAAGGTGTATTTGCAAAGCACAGATTTTTTTCTTCTCAGATAAATTGCAGTAATATTATTTAATTTTTAATTAAATAATTTTTAATTTTTGTTAACTGCCTTCTGCATAAAGCAGTCAACTGAAACTTACCACATGAAATCCTATACTGTTTTCTATATATAAATCAATGTGAAATCTTAGGTTGATATTTTGATGTTATAGAGATGATGTGAGATCAGATTTGATGTGAGTTAATTATGAAGGAAATTGACAAAAATAATATGCCAGAAAAATTATAGGAAATAATGTAGGAATTCGCATAGATTTCAATGTGGAAACAACATCATAAATTCCTACATGAAATCATACACTAAATCGTGTCCGAATTTCATATATGATTTTACATGGAATTCTGTGTGGATTCCTATGTAGACCTAGGATTTTATAACGGTTTTTATAAAGGAACCTATATGGAATCATATATAGGATCCCATGTGGGGATTTTTAATAGTGAAGAGAATACCCTGGATGTCAAGAAGGCAATCTGAAAAGTTCCGAAGATTAAAAATGTAAAAGTTTATACAGTCAAAATAAATTGAATAGTAATTTTTAAATTAGTTGTTTTTGTTTAGTTATTAAAAAATAGTAATATAAATAACAATTTAGAAAAATTTGGAGTCAGCTATAATGGATAGAATATTTTAAATATGAAATTTACATTGTTATTAAAACGACCCTGACAACTCCAGATCACGATGGACTACGAGGTTTTTCTTTAATATGTGGAAAGGCAAAATTTTTCGTCCGCTATATTAAATACAGACTTTTTAAAAATTGAATTTTGAAATCCGATTCATGACTAGAGACTCAAAAAATCCCAAAATATAAAGATTTGTTAAATTATTTTGAATATTTATGTGATAAATAATTGATTACATTGAAATGCATTTTTAACCCTAGAAGGAGTATATGAATTTTCTCACCCTCTAAAAGTTAACTGGGGTGTTCACACACCCCCAACTTGAAACTTGTGTAAAAAGGTTTCTATTTGACATAAAACTAATTATATATAGTGATTTTTATTGGTTTTTAGTAAGGAAAACAATAGTTTTACTGATTTTTTGATAAAATAAAAAAAAGTTAAGAAAAACGAAAAAAACAAAAAATTTGCCAAATTTGTCTTTTTTTAAAAAAAAATGTTGTATTTTTTCGAAAATTTGACTATTTTAAAAATATCGATCATATTTTGAAAGGTGAATAGATACACTTTTAGAAAAAATATTGGTTTATGCATTATTTTCAAAAATATAATTATTTGAACAACTGAAGTGCAAAAAAAATTGAAGAATGTATTTTCAATGGGAAATTTCGATTGATTACTGGCACGGGTTAATATTAATCAATCTGGCCAATTTGCAAGTTACAGGGTTTCTACAAATTTCTCTTCGCGAAATTTCATGATTTTTCCATAAAGTTAATATGGTTTTGCTGCAAAATTGTGGCAAATAGCGTTGCGCACACATTTTTTAAACTTTACATTGCATGTTTACAGAAATGCAGCTAATTAATTTGCAATGCTAATTATTCGCACAAGTTAATGTCATGCACAGTCATTTTCTGTTGCATTGTGTGCTGCGCCAAATATCAACATATTAAAAAAAATTTCTGGAAATCTTGCTGCAAGTTTTTTTGTTCAAGTTTAATAACAAAAATTTCTTCATGTTTGCTATAAAAATTTGCTGCAAAACTTGCAATGTTAAGTTTAGAAGACATATCGCTATTTGTCATCTGGGAGCATTAATATAAATATTTCTTTTTAAAAAAGCATTTTATTTATTTCTTGTCAGTATTACCGACTCAAAATCGAAGAAAATAAATAAGCCATTCTGTTTATTACTTAATTATTAACTACAATTAAATAAACGACATATCATAACGTATTTCTTCAAAAATTGATTTTCTTAAACAATTCAATTATCAATAAAAATCAAAGAGAAGCAGTTTCGTTTTTCTTTTAACGATTTTTTGACAATTCAAATCAAAACAGAAAACCTCACGCGTTTGCATATATTTGAAGTTTTAAACAAATGTCCAGATGTATGTGTGTGTGTCACAAAATCTCGTGCACAAATTATCTCCAACATGCTTGGATGGATTGTCCTGAAATTTTGTAGGCTTATTACAGTCATCAATATCTAAAATTAGACACAAGGATTTCCAAAAATACCCACATAATTTTTTTATGTCACTTTTTCAAAAATCCAAAAATATGTTTTTTAACCAAAAATTTTTTACCTTGTAAATTTAATTTTTTTTCTCCAAAAAACTTATTACACGCATTAAAATGAATTGATATATAAAGTCTATATTTTTCTTAAAATTTATAAATTAAATCCTTTTTAAATTTTTGAAAAAAATCGTTTTTCTAATTTTCTGAAATAACTTTTTTCTTCCTGAAAATTTTTAATAAATTTTGTCACAGTTGTATTCCTGGCATCGAAACAAATCGATTGATGTATATAAAGTTTACCAATATTTATAAAATTGATCGCTATTTTTATTTTTAATAAAAAACTGAAATTTTGAATTTTTTTTAACCTAATAATTCTTTATCATGATATATAAGGAAGCTAAATGGTCATGAAATGAACTTTTTAACTTGTTTTCAATATAATACAGATGTCAATTTATGGTGTAAAATTTTCCTAACATGAGATATTCTTTCATATTAAATCGTTCGTACACACACCTAAAAAATATACTTAAAACGGTTAAAGCCACAAATAATTAATTAATGATGAGACTAATAAAACGTGTTTTCGTGATTTAACATTACATTTAATTAACTACTGCTGTGATTACTATGATAGGATTTGTTTTTAAAACAATATTTTATACGTGTAATTGTTACCTTCTACATTCGTCCTCTGCTAACATAAGGTCCCTTCTATGTTTTGTATACTCTCTCCAATAACGTTCCTCCTCACTTTGCAATCTCTCTCGTTCCCTTTCCTGTTCACCAATGGCATCTCTCGTAGCTGTTTCTTCTTTTCTCAAAGCTTCTAATTCACAAATCATCCTTTCTTCTTCGTCTTTAACATCCAGTAATTCCTTCAATAGATTTTCCATTTTAACATCTTCGGTTTTTTCGTTTTCTTGTTCAGCATCTAATTTTTTTAAATATTCATTAAAATCTGACCATTCGCTTTCCGTTAATCTCAACTGTTGGTCCATTAGCATTAAAAGTGTATCCGTGCATTCGTCGCACAGAGGATGATCAGCAGAACTGCTACTGCTTAAAATGTCGAATAATGCTGCTCTTATCTAAAAGAATAAATTTAAAAGATATACTTTCAAAACGTACATTCTTACCAAATATAATGAGAAAGTCTTAAATTTATGCAATTTTCAACTTTTTCTAAAATTTGTGAATATTCACGTTTTGAGAACTCCAGATGCCAAAATATGTCTCTGCATGTATCATATTAAAAATATCGTTTTCCATACCGTGAATTTAGAATGTGTACGATGTAATTTACGACATCGTAAACTATGTAGTCTACTACGCCGTATACTATCCAAAAAATACGACGTAGTTCACGACGTCGTAGATGGCGCAGTTTATGATGTTGTAAACCACAACATATTTTTTTGGATAGTACACGGCCTAGTAGATAACATAGTGTACAGTGTCGTTAACTACATCGTATACGTTCTGAAATCACGATATTGAAAACAACGTCGTATACGACGTAAATATTTTTAATAGGATATGTATTATAACAGGGATTTTATTATTTTATTTTTAATTATTTTTATTGAATTGAATTATTAAGGTTATTTTAAAGAACTGCTCATTCGAGTAGTCACCCTACTGAAAATCCCCACATGGGAAACCACATGGGATCCTATGTCCAAAAACTATGTAAAATCTCACTCCTATATAGGAAACCATATGGTTTCCCATATGAATCCCCATGGGAAATTAAGACAGGATTTGACATAGGAAAAAAATCAAAACGAGTTTCCTCGTTTCCAATGCAAATCTAATGTCAAATACCATGTTAAATACCAAGTGAAATCCTTTATCATTTTTTAAAAAATTTCCGATGTCAAACCCCATGTCATTTCCCAAGTGAAATCATTTATCCTTTTTTTTTAAATTTTCCCATGTCAATTCCCATGCATAAAGCAGCCAACTGAAAATTTCCTATATTTAAATCCATGTGAAATCTAAGGTGGAAATTTCAGAATCTACATGAAATCTTATATGATTTCCTATGCTTAAATACATTTGTTTTATCATTTGTAAGAATTCACGTGAAATCGTGTTCCATTTCCCATGTAGATTCCCATATGGTTTCCCATGTAGTTTCCCATATAGTTTCCCATGTGGGGGTTTTCAATAGGGCGAAAGAAGATTTGACATGGGAAAATTAAAAAAAAAAAATAAAGGATTTCACTTAGGAAATGACATGGGAAAATTTTTCAAAAAAATGATAAAGGATTTCACATGGGAAATGACATGGGGTTTGACATGAGAAAATTTTTCAAAAAAATGATAAAAGATTTCACTTGAGAAATGACATGGGAAAATTTTTCAAAAAAATGATAAAGGATTTCACTTGGTATTTAACATGGTATGTGACATGGGAAACGAGGAACTTCGTTTTGATTTTTCCTATGTCAAAATCTGTCTCAATTTCCCATGGGGATTTATATGGGAAACCATATGGTTTCCTATATAGGATTGGTGTTTTACATAGTTTTTGACATAGGATCCCATGTGGGGATTTTTAATAGGGCATGGTGGAAAGTACACTTATTAGTACTGTAGGTCAATAATTAATATATTACTAACCTGCAACCTCGTAAGAGTTTTCGTAGGGTAATAATGAGTATAATTCTGACCATGAACTACCCGAACTAGGCAGTAAAAGACTTAAACAAGAAAAGGTTTACAGGTTCAGTCAACCCCCACAGCACCGAAACTTTTCAAAATATTTCCTAAAGATTTATTTGAAATGTTCACGTCAGAAGCGAATTGAATTTGAAGTTTTTTGGCTTTTTCAAAAAAAAACTTTAAAGGTTCTGCTACAATTACTTATTGTCAACAGCACCACTTCAAAAAAGGTTCGAAAATTTATTTTTTTGCGTTTCTAACTTTTTAAACCTTTTTGGCCATATTAACGTCTTGAGCGTCATGGCGTTTAAATTGGTGTCGCACGTGGCGGTGACAGAAGCGTCAAAAATGCGATAATAGCGTTCATATTTGAACTCAATTTGTAATGTCTGTACACATATTTTACTAACCAAAACGCATATTTCTTATTTTTTAAGATCCACAAAGACAGATGTAACATAAAAAAATTATTTTTATAAATATTTAAATGCTTTTTTCGAAATTTAAATTCGACAATTTTCTGTACTTTTTTGAGAATTTCGTTCTAACATTTATTCACAAATATTATTTTTGGACTTCTAGAAACAATGAAATCCACCTAAATTTTGTTACTCGGGGGTTTTGATTAGTGAAATATGTGTACAGACATTGAAAATTAAGTTCAAATAGGAACGTCATTTTCTCATTTTTTACGCTTCTGTCACCGCCATGTGCGACACAATGACGCTCAAGAGGTTAAGGCTACAAGATTCAACAAATATTAGATCAAATAATTTATAAACAAAAAGGGCTATAAAGGGACATTAACTATTGTAATCAAGCTTTAAATTTTCTACTTTTTAAATTTCTAATAAAAAGGCTCAATGGAGCACCTGGATAAAATAACTCGCGCTACACTCGACTGTACGCTCTCAAGCTCAAGAAAAGTACTAGCTTATAGAAAATAAGAAGGCGCATCTTTTTTTCCTTTAACATTTTTTAGAAAAACGAATATTTTAAATAATAAATCCAAAAAAATAAGAAATCTTGATGCACAAATTTCATTAAGTTTTAAAACATAAATCATCGTATCTTTTACAATTATTAACAGATTTGATTAATAATTAGTATACACACGCTCTTGGGTCTACTGAAGACGACAATATAATGAACAATTAAAAAATCATTAATTGTTAATTAATTTTTTAATATAAATAGAGACCTGTCGGAAATCATGTTTTCTTGCATTTGGCGACAAAAAGTCTGCAGGGAAGTTTACAGTTAAGATAACTCCCAGTGAGATATTTGTTTATTACTATATAAGAAAGTTTTTTGGAAAATTTTAAACCGATTCATTGAAAACTTCGGAAAATATTGAAGTTTTAAAAAAGCGCGTGCGCCACTCTAGCGCGTCACCTAGCTGTGTGCATTAAATAAAAATTTCTTTATTACCATTAACAAACTACATATTAATAATTAAATATTTAATTCTGAACTAATATTTATATTAATTTTAATTTATTTACAGGGGTATAAACATAAAATTATAAATGTTGTCAAAACTGTTAAAAACGTATAAAATAGGTATAGGTGTAAATTTTATAAATTTCATGTCAAGTCAATGTATAAAATATATATTTTTCTTAATTAGAAGCTTTTCGATCACATCACGTTGATCATCTTCAGTAACAAAAAGATATGGAAAATATTGCACGATGGTGACATTATTTTATATAAAAATTAGAGAAAAATAATAGAAGTGTCAAGCGTACACACAGCAGCTTGACACTTTTATTATTTTTCTCTAATTTTTATATAAAATAATGTCACCATCGTGCAATATTTTCCATATCTTTTTGTTACTGAAGATGATCAACGTGATGTGATCGAAAAGCTTCTAATTAAGAAAAATATATATTTTATACATTGACTTGACATGAAATTTATAAAATTTACACCTATACCTATGATATATTTAGCAACAAGTCGAAACTAAAACTAACATCTAATTACAATATTACGTATAAATTCAATATTTTCTTAACATATTGATAACCATTTTGTATATCTTTGAGTACACATATTACTAAAAATTTATTTATAACAAATTTAGCTATGTAATCAATCTTTAAAATATTTAATACACGTTTTAAAACTAACAATATTTTTAATTTAAAACATTCATTAAACAGAATTTTGTTAATACCTACATACTGTTACGTCTTAAATAGAGAAATAACTAACGAAATAATATTTTATTTTATTTATGGCCGCTCGGTGATTCAGTGAATTCCTGTTTCATTTACAGAGCAGAAGGCTCTGAACTAAGGGTACAGGAAAGAAAGAGAATAGTAATTAATTTTATAATTAGGTTACAATTCATTTAGACAAGTATTTTTAGTTACAACAATTCGTTCTTATGAGAGAGAGGGAATCTCGAACCAACCAATCCAGGAAAATAGAGAGTTCAGCATTCAACTTAAAATTCAGTAGTAGGTGTGTTGCAAGAAAAAGGACCACTGCTGTGTCCTTTGTTGTCACAGGAAAAGAGCTGGTACCAGCGTGAGTTTATGACGTCCGGAAGGTTGACGGGCCCAGGTATAACCGCAGGTCCGGAGTTCTATTAGGCGTGATGAATCTCCCAATAATGAGTCTCTTCCAAATAAAGGAAGAATAGATAATTGCCCAATGAAATAAGAAGTAAAGATCCTCGTTTAATGTAGAGGGTTTTGACACTTGATTTTCACTTTCGTATAAGAAAATTATGCACTTGAACTAGCAGACGTCGACTGGTACCAAGAATGAGGTTGATGTTATACGTATGAAGATGATTTCAGAACTGATCTCTCCATGAAAATGTAGTCCTTTTATACTGAGTTTTCGTAAGAGAATAGATAAAATTTTATTGTCGTACTATATATTTTTCACCCTTATTTTGGAAGCCAAAGTTGAGTCCTTCTCTCTCAGTTGAACGTAAAAAAGGGGGGTGTGAATCATTCTAATACAAGATAGAAGGAGTACGACTACGGTTATTCTCAGCTGTAGAAGAGTTTTTATGGTCTTCTAATGTGGTGATACCACAGGGGTTCGTCACATAGGAAAATTAGAAAGAGAGCATTTATTACATCGTCTGATTTTAGCACATAGGGAAAATTAGAAAGAGAGCATTTTGTTTCGTGGGGGTGTGAGCTCTTCTAGTGTCATAAAAGATTTCTCGCTTCTATTTGTATGTTTTAGAAATACAGTATATAGACGTAGAAGGATACAAAACGCAGGGGTCTTTTATATATAAAAGAAAGATGTTTAGTTGCGCGACAAAAAGGCGGAAATTGAACATTTAAGAGAAAAGTATTAGATGCGTAACAAAAACACGGGTGTTTGTAGCAGAGACATTCAACTCAGTATTGATTAAAAGAATTCTTATAATTATGAATGTAAAAGT